TATAAGGACCACTGTGCCCACCCTAGGAAGTACCTGTCTTTGTGCCATGCTGAAGGCCTTACATTTGTCTCTGTGTCCTGGCCCTGCCATCGCCCACTCCTGCTCTAGAGCTGGCTCAGTGGTGCCCGTGACTCAGGCAGCTCCAGGGAGTTAGAGGTGGTGACCTCACTCCTGGAGAATGCCTGCTGGAATTCACCCTGAGTCTGGTCCGCTGTTCCCCACGCACCCGCCATGCCTGACAGCACTCTAGCTCATGCCTCTAAGCCAGCCCGCCACACACAACTGATGATGGCAGCACCTCTCGTGAGCTAGGACACCCCTGTTACACAGCTACTAATTATTAATTGGGCATGAGCTTGTTCCCCACCTTTGGCCAGCTTTCTCGGCGACCATAGGCAAGCAGCTGTCGCTCCTGGTCAGCTGCCTTCCTCGGCCTCCCGGCAGGGGGACAGTCCAGCATCAGTCCCTTTGTGCCCCACACCGCCCAGTGCTCCACCCACATCTGACCCTCCCAACATCCACCGGAGGTAGCAATTGTTGTTCCCATTTCACAAATGAGGAAACGGAGGCCCAGAGAGGTAGTGTGACATACCCAAGACACACCCCGGGAAATGGGCCCAGGCAGGCTGACCCAATCCCTCATCCCGCCCCCTTTGCCACACTGCTACCCCAGGACAGCCAAAGGAGCCCTCTTCTCTTGCCAAGAGTAGGGACTTTGGGCCTTTCTCTTGTGTCTGCTTCCCCCACCCTGAGTCCTGGCAGGAGGCAGGAGATTCCCTTTGCTCAGTATCTAATCCCAAGGCTGGATGATTCTCTCCAGTCCCAACATGGCAACCTCACCCATGAACCTCCGCCAGCTGGTGTGTGAGTGTCTCTCTGGGGCTGTCTGGGGCTGGGAATTAGGAATTCAAAGCAGAGGAGCTCTTGAGGGGTTTGCAGCAAACACACTGATAGAATCTAAAGTATAAACGCCACAGGAGAAACAAATAACATTCACCATCACGAGGACAGCACAAGAACGATTGCCACTTCTCGAGAGGAGCGACTGTGTGCAAGTACTGTCGGGTAAACCGTGGAGAGAGGGTGATGTTCAAGAAGCGGGTCTTGGGGGTCGGGGGAGGACAAAGAGGTTAAAGAGGGTCAAATATAAGGTGACGAAAGGAGACTAGACCAAGTGGGCAGCACACAAAAGAGTAACATGTCGTATTATAAAGTTGTACATCTAAAATTTATATAATGTTATTATCTAACGTTACCCCAATAAATTTGATTAAAAAATAAATAAATGTGAATGAAAGAAATGAAAAAGATTTTGCCTTAATCACTGAATAGCAGTTAGCTTGAGAGGCAAGTTGTGGGAAGGGCATTTCAGGCAGAAGGAACGGCATGTGCAAAGGCACAGAAGTACATGCTCTATCCAAGGAGTAAGGCCTGGAGGCCCCGCAGAGGGGGATGGAGATGGGA